GTGTGGGCGTCGGGGCGGGCCCGTGCCGCCAGCCGGTACTGCAGGGCCCGGGGGCCTGGCTGAGGTGCCACGTACTCAGGGAGCTGCCATGGTGACTCGCATTCCTGTTCTCTTTTCCCCCTTTCCCCCAGCTGCTTTGTCACTCAGAATTAGCTGATCTGTGCTCCAGGACCACCTTTCTTTAAGAAGATGGTCAGTCTCTAGCACTCTGTCCTCTGCCCCTCCCTCCGGGACAAAAAGTAATCTGGCACTGCTTACAAGCAGCAAACTTACTTTAAAGCCATTTAAAAACCATTTTCTGTACCCGATCTATTGTCTCCTATTTGCAAAACTGAAGGGATTTCTCCCTGCTGCCTAATATCAATTCAGGATGTAAATCATAAGATTTGTTAATCTTAACTAGGCCCTACTTAGATGCAGATTTACATGGAAATAATTTAAAGTGTTTTAATTATACCTTCTTTCAGTGCAATGATGACTCTTAGTTTGGAATAAATATTTCCTAATGACAAATACTTAATAAGTAATTTCCTGTTTTAGTTTTGCTTGGACTGGTTTACTTTACTTTTGTCCAGGTTGAATAAAATCCAAGATAAGAGTCTCTACACAAGACTTCTGCAAAATAATATATACTGAAATTAAGTTATGTTATTTCCATGTACATTTTTGTGTAAACCAAGATTTACTTTCCATGTTCCTCAATAGTTGATTACATAGGTTAAGCATCACAAGTAAAGCCTACATTGCCTTCATCATGACAAATATAAATAATTCCTTTTGTAACCCTGGGTGTTGCGTTAGATCATTTGTTAAAATCTCCTTTTACTATTTCTTTCTGAGTCTCTTCTATGCATCATTTTCTCAGCAGAAAAATATGTCAAAATTGTTATGACAAAACTCACAGGTAGTATGAGGATTTGTAGAAAAAGATGGTATGAGGATAATAAAATTATGCTTGTTTTTCATCAAGGAATGTTTACATCTCTCTGTATCTTGATTAGGTGCTGCTTTGTCTCTGAAATGTCAGGCCCGCCTGGGGATTAAGGTACAGCCGATAGCTATTGTCACGTGGGATGTGGATAACATCCCGGTGAAAAACTCAGAGTTGTCAAGATTTCATGAAAAGACTCATTTGTAAGTACATATAACACAGAATAATCTTTCTTCTATACAAACTGTGCCTAGCCATTAAAGCCAACACTACCAGCTTTTCTCTCTCTATTAGTTTTCAAGGACGTGAGCAAGAATATTACAGAGAGACCACTTTGCATATTACGGAGGTAAAAAAGGAGGATCTTCAGGCAAATTTCACGTGTGTAGTGATGAACGAAATGCACAACACAAGGGCCACAGTGACATTACAACTCAAAGCACAATGTGAGGGTAGGATTATTTCATTTTGTTTTCTTACACTTTGCACTCAATTTGAAATATGTTGGCGATTTTATTTTATTATTTGTTTTGGTTAGTAAGAAAGTTTCTGTTGGTAAGAAGGAAAACCAGCCTGCTTTCTCCCTACATATTCATGCCAGTGGCAAAATTCTCCTGGTTTCATTAGATCATGAAAGTCCTTGGGGTAAATTCTGTTGGGGGGAGGGGCATTACTCAAATGGTATCAGCAAGAGCATGACTTGGTATATGCAGAGCATGACTATATCAGCCCTGTGATAAGAATATCCTGTTTCTAGGATATTTCTGCTCGGTGACAAATTCCCCTTGCCTCGAAGGCAGGCAGTGCACTTGGATTTGAAGCATGCTGGTATAGTGCAGTCTGCTCTACAAAATGGTCAGGCTGCAGAGGAACCTCTGCAGATGAAAGCTGGGCAAGGAACTGACCTCTGCTTTGGTCAGCAGTGTTACAATGCATTGTGAGGAGCAGAGATTCATCTTCTTTGGAGAATCAAACTGTTGTTTCCAGTGTGGAACCATGGCAGAAAACAGGCAAACTTTAAAAACAACTTTCATTTGCCAGTTTGCTTGTCTTCCCTCCCATACCACATCCGCTGTAGTACCTTGCTTGTTGACTGAATGTTAAGTGGTGTGACTAACTTCTGCAAGGTCTGGCTTTATCCTCTCTCCCTCTGAGCACCACTGTATTCACTGTGTGCCACACAGAGTGTAAGTAACACTTCAAAGGCTTTCCCTTGGTTTCGGTTTAAAATTCCTAGTTCTAGTAATTTCTGCCAGAGAAGGAAAATCTAGGTCAATAATGGTGGGGACTGGGATGGTCTTTAGCTCCTATGATGGTTTGGTTTTTTTTGTTTGTTTGTTTTTTTTTTTAATAGGGATAGCCAGATGCCTAGGCACTGTTGCCAGCACCACTGAGTTAGATTCTTATGGCAGAAAATTTTATTGTGTCTGTGAAGGCACAAGAAGGAGCTGTGGTCAATGGTTTCCTTTCTTATTCCTTCAGATATGCTGAGCCACCAAGGACCTTGAGAAGAAATCCCAAGGCCTTTAACAGGGATTAGTTTTCTGTAAGAGAATGGTAGGAAGAGTAAAATCAAGTGTATTTTGATCACAGGGTGTGCACAGCTCCATGCCCTGCAGTATTTTTGAGAGTTCATAAATTCTTACAGGATCATGGCTTCAAAGCATGGACATATTTCCTTGCCATAGCCTAGACTAGAGAGGATGCAGGTAAATTATAACAGAGGATGGATGATCATCCAGCAGGACAGCACCGATTTCCTGCAGAGAAAGGTGGCAGGAGATGTTTTGGTTGGATGTTACTAAGTGAGCGTGAGCATAGCATCACTTGGGAAGCTGGAAGCACATCAGCTCTGCACTGAATTATCTGAGTGTGGGAGCCTACTTGCAATGAGAGGGAAGGAAACTGAGTAACAGTTCCTACTTACTCTAGTTCAGGCAATACAAGTCGTTTATGGGCCCCATACTGCAAATTAGATGAAGGCAAGAGTATATTTTATATTCTGTATTCATCAAGTGATTTGTTAAATCTGGTTTCTGTTGTAGACAAATCTTATTATGTTTTTTATCCATAGGTTTTCAGTAAATGTTCATGAAAGCTCTTGACTGTGACCCCCCCTTTCCTGCTGCCTGTTTTGTGTGGATGTCTGTCCCCTTCTCCTTGCTGCTGCTATTGCCAAGATGCCTGCTTCTGCTACTCAGCACTGTTGGTTTAAGCAATGCTACATCCAGAAATGGTTGTGCTCTGTTTTAGTTTTCTTTGTTCACTGCTTGCACAGCTGGACAATATTTATGCTAAAACAATGACAGCTTGCCTCTGAGTATAATAAAAATACTGTAGGGTTTGCTTCTGCCTCACAATTTGTAAATGTGTAATAAAAATATGAACTCTACTTATTTTTTGTGTTTTGTTCATTTATTCTTAATGGAAAAAACCAGTTGTGGTTTGATGATTTTATTTTTTTTTTTAATATATGGTTGTTCCTTAGTGTTTCCCACAGCACAAATTGTGTCTGCTAGTTACTATCCTGTTAATGTGCTTTTTACACAAGTTCCTGCTCTGTATTCTGATTTTTCTTTTCCTAGGCATTCAGTATGAGTTACATTATCATTATAGGTAGCACAGATCTATGATAGGATGTAAGAGATGAATAGGTGTTGTGCCAGTTGCTACTCAAATTAGTCAGTTGTGGGGGCATCTAATGAACTAGATAAATAGTGTTTAGCAGCACAGGTGAATGATTAATGGACAAAGCAGAGATACTGTAGGCAACTGCATTAGAGATCCTCTGTGTTAGTACCTGTTCAGTCTTACAAAAGCCTCTGTCTTCAAAAACCTACTGAACGAATGCTTTGGCTCACCACATGGAAATTTGCCATGGGAACCAGGAATTAAATCTATTTGCTGAGTGATATTAAAATACTTTAAGTCCTAGTTCATTGATAGCAATATCATTATAATTAAATCTAGCAATTTGCTTTGATAACAATTGTATTCCAAATAAGAAGAAAAAATTGCCAGAGAGGAATGATGAGAAAAGGAGGAGTTCCTTTCACAGTCAAGAATGTTGGGATCTGTTTGGTTTTGTCTCCATGGAAAACAAAAGTACTCCTATAATACTGCCAGGAACTGATGTCATTGGCAAAGCTTCTTGACATTTCACAGGGAAAAAGAGGTATATTTTCCAGTTTAGAATTTATGCCGTGCACACACAGAATCATACAATCATAAAACGGTTTGGGTTGGAAGGGACCTCAAAGATCGTCTAGTTCCAACCCCCCTGCCATGGGCAGGGACACACTCCACTAGACCAGGTTGCCCAAAGCCCCATCCAGCCTGGCCTTGAACACTTCCAGGGAGGGGGCATCCACAGCTTCTCTGGGCAACCTGTTCCAGTGCCTCACCACCCTCACAGTGAAGAATTTCTTCCTAATATTTAATCTAAATCTACCCTCCTTTAGTTTAATGCCATTAGCCCTTGTCCTATCACTCTGCTCACTTGTAAACAGCCCCTCTCCAGCTTTCCTGTAGGCTCCTTCAGGTACTGGAAGGCCGCTGTAAGGTCTCCCCAGAACCTTCTGAGGCAGAATCACCTCCCTCAACCTGCTGGTCATGCTGCTTTTGATGCAGTCCAGGATACAGTTGGCTTTCTGGACTGCAAGTGCACATTGCTGACTCATGTTGAGCTTTTCATCAGCCAACACCCCCAAGTCCTTCTCCTCAGGGCTGCTCTCAATCCATCCTCAGCCCAGCCTGTAGCTGTGCTTCACATACATGTATCCACATATGTGTGTGAAGAAAAAGTGCTGTATTGTGAAAACAGTGCCTGTCTTAAGTGTCTGTCCCAAGTGTCTTTTCACTTGTCTTTTTAGATATAGGAAATAAATGCTGCTAAGAGAAGCTGATCAGCTCTTTCAAAATGAGCTACATGACCTAAGTACGTCAGTTATCAGGAGTAATGCAATGCAGTCAGCTCCTTTTGGTGTGATTTGGTGGTATCCAGACTACACATACTATGTCTGTTAGACACAGAGAAATCAGGCAAATTCTTTATTTTAACAGAAGAATTTTAATGAAGATTTGGCTATGAATTTTCACAGGGTCTGCACATATGTTCTTCCCTCCATTAGGAAGTTCTAATGTCCCTGCATCTTTCAGCTGCTGCTGCTGCTGCTGCTACCTTCACAGTTTGCTTCTCCTCCTGCTGAGGAAGGTCTTACTCCATTTTTTTTTCCTCATCCACTCCCTGCCTTGACTATGATCACTCCCAGTCAATGTGGAACCCATCCTTCCACACTATTTCCCATCCTTTCTCTCCCCTCTTTGCCTGAAGCTCTTTGGTATCTTCTGACTCCTTCACCAACACTTGTTCATGAACACATTCTTCATGTCTCATAATACCTCTTTGCAGAAAATATAGGCTGTCTCATTTCCTCTAGATCTTTCAGTCCTACACCCCCCTTTTTAATTCCAGAGATGGTGATCATCCCATGTTTTACATTCCTTCTCTGCCACAAGACATGTCCTCTTGTGTGCTTTGAGATCATCTGTGTAACTTGTGTGGTGTTGGCTTCTGGTCACTGTAAGGCTAAAGAATTTGTGACGGCTTTTAGTTCCCTTTTCTTCCACCTTTCCTGACAAAGCCTCCCAGACTGCTCCCAGTTGCCCTCCACAGCTGCTTGGTATCTCTCATGCTGGAAGATGCCACCTCTCAAGAATGAGAAACTACTCAGCTGCACTGTTCACATCAGTTCAGTTCAATGAGAACTGCAGCGAGCCAATGTTCACAAAAGTAACGCTGCTGGCAGAGTGTGTGTGGGGAGCTGTTAGCTCCTGAGGGGGAGGATAGGACAAATAATTGGAGAAACGCTGAAAGTGTTAACTCCTTCTACCAGCAGAGCTGGGTCAGGACAGGAACAGCCCTTCAGCATCCCCTTCTGTCTGCTAGGTAATACACGGGCTTTCTGAACACCTTCCAAGTACTTCTCTTCTTATTAATTTATAAGCTGCCATTGGCTTCTAGTTCCTCATCTTGATTCAGGGCTGGTTAAGTAACTGGAGGTGGCTTTTCATGTGTCTGACCCACAAGCATCATCTTATTTCTCCCTGAGCATTCCTCAATTCTCATTCACAAGGAAGTGTAAAGTGCCCAGAGGACCACAAATTTTCCTGGCTGAACCCTCTTCCCTGAAGAATGTGAGAAATTCCAGTCATTTGAAGTAAAGATAAAGTCCCGTCCAGAACATCAGCTCTGTTCTTCCTCAAAGATATTTAATCCCCAACCTTATCTTTTGGCTCATCTTTGGTAGACAGATGTGGACAGAAATTCCAGACCCAGATCTCTGCCTTTACTGTCTGAAAATGTGTCTACCTTAGAAGTCAGCAAAGCTACAAAAAACTGCTGTTCTTCTGGAGTTTGTCAGGAAATGCCTTCAAATGTTGCTTCTGACTTGTTTTCTCTGGCCTGTTTCTTGGGAGCTGATAGTTCTGTATTCCCATTGCTCTTGAGTATAAATAAATAGTGTTAGAAGACAGCCTACTCATGAACTCTCTGCTGCTAAATGATGCAGCAAAGTCAAATGGAACAACAGGATCTCTTCAACCTTGTTCACGGCCTTCAAAAGTGGCTTCTGGCCCTTGCCCCCATTGTGCTGAAGATAGCTGATTAATTCCAGAGAAAAAAGGGACTGAGTCAGCCTTACTGGGAACTGAACCTGCTCTTCCAGGAAGACTGATTTAGGGTTCTTGTCTGATGCTTTACAAGCTGTATAAGCACAGGAAATCTATCACTTCTTTTCCAGCCTTGGTCTAATCACATGTAAACCCAAATATAAACAGCATTTTTTTTAGGTTCAGCATTGCAGAAGTTGTTGTTGGAGCCTGTTTCTTTTCTAGATGTTTTAGAGATACTTACTCAATGCGTTATAACAGTATTTGTAATGCTGTGGCGAGCACACTGTCAACAAATGAAGCAATAGGAAATAGTGGCAATCTCTGATCCTTGGGTCGTCCTCATCAGGTAGCGGACGGGGATTTCTGATTTTGTCTCTGTGTATGTATTGACCAGGAAAACGGATCATATAATAAATTTGAAGGGGTCCACAAGGATGAAGTTCCTTCAGCATTGCAGAAGTTGTTGTTGGAGCCTGTTTCTTTTCTAGATGTTTTAGAGATACTTACTCAATGCGTTATAACAGTATTTGTAATGCTGTGGCGAGCACACTGTCAACAAATGAAGCAATAAGAAATAGCGGCAATCTCTGATCCTTGGGTCGTCCTCATCAGGTAGTGGACGGGGATTTCTGATTTTGTCTCTGTGTGTGTATTGACCAGGAAAATGGATCAAATAATAATAAATCTGAAGGCGTCCACAAGGACAAAGTTCCTTTATGGGCATGACAGGACACTGTTAAAACAACAAAATGGCCAAACTTCACTGCGAAATAAACTGGTTGTTTTCATTCCCACTTCGATCTTATTGGAAGGTGTTTTCCTCAGATCTCTTAGTTCTGGTGAGGTATGCTTCACCATGTGCCTGATGTTTCTTTGTCCCTTTAAATGGCAAAGAAAGAAACAGGAAGAGTGTGAAAATCATGTCAGATTTACCTTGCATCCTACCAGAGGAAAGGGAAAATGTACTTGTAAACTCTTTATTTATATAGCTTTTCAGGGGAATTTCTCATGTTTAGGTTGCCTCTGTAAGTACTCCTCAATACATGGTCTTATTCAACATCTCCTGGAGAAGCCAGGGAACCTGTAAGTCTCAACATGAGACTTGACTGCTAAATATTTTATCTTATGTCATTCATTTAGTGCCAAATCCAAGCGAAAGCTCTGAAATTTCTCCTTGGTGGTGGTCAGTGCTTGGCAGCTTGCTGGCTGTATACCATCTGCAGCATTTTCCAGTCTGTCTTGCTGCCTCTTCTGTAGAGGAAATAGAGATTGGCTCTTCAGAGTGCTGTAAGAGGCACCTCCTCAAGTGCTGGTTAATGGCCTGCTGCTGCAGCCACATGTCTCTTGTGTGTGTTTTGCAGGCAGAGGGAGGAAAAGCCCTGAACGTTTGATCCCTGCTTTGAATGCACAAGGCTTGGCTGGGTAGAGTTGCTGCCAGTATATATAATCACCCTCCATCAGCTGAGATACATTGAAGTGTCTTTACAGTGAGGATGCCAGAGCTGACCTCCATGTTTGTATTGACAGAATGCTTGTATTTAAATTTATATGTGATCAACATTCTAAGGAGTATTTATTTCCTCAGCTAAGGTAATTCTGAAATTGCAGCATTCATCAATCTCATTGCAACGCTTAAGGGATACACGCTTATAGTGATATTCCAAGTCAGGGCATTGCATCTGGCAATTATTATATTTGCTATATCATAGTAAAATAAAAATGGATGGGACCTTTTATGCAGATGTGATGCACAATATGAACATTTTCATGTGCATTTCTTTGGGGGTAAAAGTCCATCATCCAGTCCGATGTCTGTGGAGGTATATTTTTTAATCCAAATCATTTCAGTGATCTGAATCACAGAAAAGTTCCCAAAGCAGCTATATTATTACAACTATGGGGTGATGAATTGTTATGCTGGGCAGGAATAATTAGGTAAAGAAGGTGAACTGCAAATGGAAAATTCTTAATGGATTTAATTGTCAGAGAAAAAATGTACATGGAACTGCTCTGAGTCTACATGTTAAAAGCAAGTAGACTAGATCTAAGTATCTTTCATTTTCTTAGATTTCTACTATTAATCAGTTTCCATTAATCTTCCCTCCAAGGGATAATGAATCCTCTTTGTGTAACTGCTGTATAAAGCCTTTGATATTTTAATTTTAAACTTGGCTATCTGGACTTCCTAATGTTTTCAGTACTGAATCCTGGATGAATTCAGTATGTCCAGGACGTAGGTCAAAAGTATCTTCTTCAGCTTTGTGGCTGTAAGAGCCTGTGGATTAAGCTTCCATCTTTCTAGTATTGATAGACTACAAAATGATCTTGCTTTTACCTCCCATCGTCTCTTGCTGCAGCAGAACTAGGTATCCTCTAAAAGATGCACATATCTAGATTGACTTCTGCTCCATGAATCACAGATCAAGCGGAAAAATGGGCTGTTACAGAAATGCAGCTATCTGGGCTGTGGTAGAAACATAGCTCTCCTCTAACAGGGTGATAATCACAATCTTGTCCTAGACTAGCTGTGCACATACTATAGTGCAGAGCTGGTGACTGCCATCCTAATAGAATCACAAAATGATTTGGGTTGGAAAGGACCTTTAAAGGTCATCTAATCCAGTGCCCCTGCAATGAGCAGGGACATCTTCAACCAGACCAGGTTGCTCAGAGCCCCGTCCAACCTGGCTTGGAATGTTTCCCAGGATGGTGCATCTACCACCTCTCTGGGCAACCTGTTCCAGTGTTTCACCACCCTCATCATAAAAAAAAATTTCCTTATATTTAGTCTGAATCTATCCTTGATAAGTCTTCACCTCTGAGATGCAGGTTGTCAGACTGAAGAGCTCTTCCATGAGGGAAGCTGGAACTAAAGAGGGTGGCTCCTTTCTTTCCCAATTTTCCTTACTTATCATTGCTATTTTATGCTCCTTGACCTTCTTCAAAGGAAAAGGCAGGGGAGAATATCATCTGCCTCCAGCATAGTTTAGTTTATTTTTGTGACCAGGACATGTTCTGTTTTCCTGCTTGTTTTGCGTACTTTGTTCTTATCTTGCAGATGTCATTATTTGCACATGTTTCTCTTTGCCCTGTTTGTGCAACTATACCAGAAGCCTCTGCTTGTCCCTTTCTGTCCTGGACACTTACTGTTGTCATGCGTAGGCTTAGATGCCTTACAAAATGCTTTAACATTTCTGCCGGTTGTGTTATTAACAGTTTTACAGTGTTACAAAATACTTGAACATCATTTCAGCTGTGGTATTTAGTTCAGGTAGGTCTGCATTCAATGGAAGTAAATGTCAATTATATACTGCTTAGTATGCTTCTAGTTTAGGGGTGTCTGTGTTGGCTACACCAGCTGGGGAAGAAAAAAGCCTAAACAGAAGTAAGGATATGAGAGGCTGAGGCTTCAGCCCATGGGTTAACTTCTCTATGGTTAACAATATATTCCTCTTCTTTGCAGTGGGGCTTCCCAACGTCCTCTTGATCACAGGATCTCTAGTTCTGCTAGTTGCAATAGCAGTTTCTGTTATACTTTATCAGTCCTTCCGAGTTGATATCGTCCTATTGTATCGGGAGATATTTCAGCCCCACCCACTCAAGGATGGTGAGTAAGAATTGAGCAAGGAAGTTTAAAAAAAAGGAAAAGGCAAATCATATAGAAATGAATTTATTTGATAGTTGCTTACTACTCATATGCCACCTAGGCCTAATTCTTCACTTTCTCATGCCTTCTGAAACTGTTTAAATAAGGGAATTGACATTCCCTTGTTTCCTGGGTTCTGTAGTGATGTATTACATAAAAGAGGGATTCAGTCCTGGTTTCATTTTTTTTTTTTAAACAAATATATTTGCCATGAAACATTGAATGACAGTGAAAATCCCATTTACAGTGCTATTAACTGTACTTGTTATGCACTCTCTAAAGTAAAGGAACAACCCTGCTGGCTAGTGTGTTAACAGGCATGTGTTAGAGCAATACAGTTTTTATAAGCCAAAGAGAAAGGTACCAATATCGTGAAAGACATTTTTGGGGGTGTCCTGGTTTGAGCAAGGATAAAGTTAATTTCCTTCTTAGCAGAAGAAAGTTGTAGAAGATAGTGCTGTGTTTTGGATTCAGGATGAGAATAATGTTGACAGCCCACCGATGTTTTCAGTTGTTGCCAAGCAGCCAAGGACTTTTCAGCTTCTCATACTGCCCTGCCAACGAGAAGGCAGGGGGTGCCCAAGAAGTTGGAAGGAGACACGACCAGGACAGCTGACCCAGCTGACCAAAGGGATATTCCATACCATATGGCATCATGCTCTGTATATAGCTGGGGTTTGGGCTGGGAGGCGGGGCAGCTTGGGAACTTGTGGAGGGTTGACTGCGGGTGGTGACAAATTGTGCTGTTCATCACTTGT